AGATTCAAACCACTGACCTTCCTGGGAATAGCTGAGCCACTGTGCCACCAATGGGTCCACTGAACCAAAGTAAAAAAACAAAACAAAGCTCACAGTCATTAAGTCGATTCCGACTCATCTCGACCCTATAGGTCAGGATAGAACTGGCTCCATAGGGTTTCCAAGGTTGTAAGCAGTGCTTACGGGAGCAGAATGCCACATCTTTCTCCCTTGGAGCGGCTGGTAAGTTTGAACTACCAACCTTGAGGTTAACAGCCCAGTACTTAACCCACTGCAACACCTGGAAACAGAGGAAAAGGGGTGGACTGAAAGGATATTAGATGAATGAATGGGGAGGAGTCTGGGTAGAACCCAGTTTCATCAGCCAAGTTTGACACCAAGCTTTGAGCTGCAAAGGCATGGAGGGTGAATGAGGTGGTGGGCCAGTGAGGGAAAGCCTACATTCAACATCAGAAGGACTTAAAAGCTACAGCTTCCATTACGTAAGTGGTTAGATTGTTGGTACTGGAGGCACAGACGTAGATGTGATCTGCATATCCTACTCAGGGTAAGAGAAACATGTGAGGTGCTGGAAGCTCCCAGAGTCTAAATGTTTCTAGGACAGAAACCTGCTGGATGTCCTGGCAACCAAGAGGATCCCAGGAGAGAGCATGGTGCTCAATGCCAAGAGTAGAAAATGCTTTTACAAAGACCTGCCAACACTGGGAAATTGTGCACTGAGGACAATCAAGGACTGAAAATCAAATGGAGCCAAAGTCCAGCAACCAGAGGGTGAGGAGAAAATGAGATGTGATCAGACTGCAAAATGCTTGCTTGCTTGTCCAAAGAAAAAACAGAAAAGACAGACTGTTGGAGACTTGAAGTCTGGGTTTAAGTGGAAGGTACTTGAGTCTTCTGTCTCGTGGTAGTGGTGTCTGTGTGCCACTGAGTCCGTTCCAATTCATGGTGACCCTGTACAGGGTTTCCAAAGCTGTAAATCTTTAAGGGAACAGAAAGCCTCATCTTTCTCCCTCAGAACGACTGGTACATTCAAACTACACATCCCAGCTGATAACCCACTATGCTACCAGCGCTCCTTTCTGTCAGATAGAAAGAAGAAAAGCATGGAATTCATTCAAGTGAGTATGTCGGAGTGGGGAGAGTTCCCGGATGAACAAGAGGTAGAACTCAGCATTGCTTTTCTCACCCAAGTCCAACATTCTTATCATTTCACTAGCTTATAAAGACATTTTCATTCTGGTCCTCGCCCAACTCCATGTAGTTCTGTAAGGAATAAACAGAAGTGGAATCTTAACCTCGTCCAAAGGCAAAGTTTCAACTTCTTCAAAATTAATTCTAAAATCCTACCAAATGAAACACTTCCTCTGTGATGAGTGGGTTCCATCTAACCTAAGCATACACACTGCACACACATGCTCACATACATGCTCACACACATGCGACCAGTTCGGAGCAGTCTCTGGGTTACAGTATTAAAGCAAATTGTTTTCATTACACATTTCACCCCTCAAGGCTTTTTTGAAACAGCTTCCACATCTTACAGTCTATCAGTGAAGACAGCAAATAAAAAATAAATAAAAAGAAAGAAAGAAAAACTTCAAATGATCCAGAGGATTAAAAATAGCTCAAATGTACAAGAAATGTTCTACGAGATAGTAAGGTTGGTGTAGCGCTGTAGGATCAGCGATGAACTGCAAACCACAACGTCGGCAGTTCAAACCCACTAGTGGCTCCTTGGAAATCCTAAAGGGTCACTATGAGTTGGAACAAACTTGACGGCACTTAACAACAAAAACAGCTTCTGTGTTGGTACTTGTGAAATCCAGTGTTTGTGCCAAGTGGAACAGACTGTTTCTAGAATCATCACATCAAGTACTGAAAGAGCTAATAGCACTACATTTGTACAGTAAGTTTATATAAAGAATTACCCCTTAAACTAGATAATATTAGCAACAGGCATTGTAAGGTGCTGGAGTCCTGGTGTGGCGCTGCAGATAAATGCGCTGGACAGCAAGGTCAATCTGAACGCAAGGTAGTGGTTCAAATCCACAAGCCACTCCTAGGAAACCCTACATACGGTCACTGTGAGTCAGAACCAACTCAATGGCACTTAACAACCAAAAATGGCCTATCAAGGACTCCTATATGAGACAATTTAATAAGCAATAGGCTACATAAGTCATTGTACTCTATAAGTAATTAACAGAGGTACTCCCATTGTTTCTGTAAGTAACCAACAGGGACACTCACACTGTACTTTATAAGTAACCAGCAGGGACATTCACACTGTACCCTATAAGTAACCAGAAGGGACACACACACTGTACTCTATAAGTAACCAACAGGGACACACACACTGTACTCTATAAATAATTAACAGGGACACTCACACTGTACTCTATAAGTAACCAGAAGGGACACACACACTGTACTCTATAAGTAACCAGAAGGGACACACACACTGTACTCTATAAATAACCAACAGGGACACTCACACTGTACTCTATAAATAACCAATATGGATACTCACACTGTACTCTACAAATAATCAACAGGGACACTCACACTGTACTCTCTAAGTAACCAGCAGGGACATTCACACTGTACTCTATAAGTAGCCAACAGGGACACTCACACTGTACTCTATAAGTAGCCAACAGGGACACTCACACTGTACTCTATAAGTAGCCAACAGGGACACTCACACTGTACTATATTAAGTAACCAACAGGGACACTCACACTGTATTCTATAAATAATTAACAGGGACACTCACACTGTATTCTATAAATAATTAACAGGGACACTCACACTGTA